AGCACGACATCCCGATCAATCCTGTCCCTGCGTCAAATCTATTCAAATTTCGGTACACAGAGGCCCGATGCAGTCCCGCCAGTTTCACAAGTCTAGTTACGGATGTAATACCTGCTTCATAATATGCCAAGAGTCGATTTCTGTTGTTTTGTAACGTCATGGCAAAGCTTCGGTATCGTCTGCTAGCAACGAGGTCATGTGATCAAGCCGTCCCTGAACCCAAGGGAGATAATTCCATACCAACGAGGCAAGCTACTGGCGGCTAGTATTTCGACTTTTTTGATAGTAGGATCGAATCTGCAGCATAAAGTTTTTTGTCACATTTTTTCTGCTCGTTACTATATTGTTTTTGATTGAGTTGGAGTCGGCGTCAGCATCGGCATTCCCATTGTTTCCGGAGCATAACTCTAAAACTACTTCAACAATCTTCACTAAATTTGGTATACTGCCTCTCCATATCATGTAGATTTGCCTTTTGGGGGTTTGAGGGGTTGTGTTTTTTTTCAATTTTATTTTTTTCTGTTTTCATGGCATCAATTTGGACTTTGTCTTTTTGAAGGGGAAAACTTGTTTTGTAGATGTGCCTTTTGGGGGGTTGAACTTTTCTTTCAATTTTATTTATTTGCTTTTCATACTTAGAGATTTTGAAGGAATCAAATGAATTGTTTGAAGTCTCATCATTGAATAGCCTAGTGGTTAAAGGGCCACTGATACAGAGCAATTTCCGTGGACTGGTTGTTGCTTTTGTTATTGTTTTTCTCCAGTGAGTACCCGGATGATATCCCAAAATTCATGACTGGTTGGTTACCTCTGCTGCGCCACCCTCATGCGCAATTGATAGTATAAGTATAGACCAATCAACAAAGATGAAATCTTTTTTACTTGATAACCTTATGTTGATTTTGTTGTAAAATAATGTAGACTTTGATGAATAATTTGGTTTCTTTTAAAAAAATATTCACTTTGATTAAAATGCTGATTTTGATGTAAAATGTTGATTTCATAGTAATGTTGACTTATTAAAAATGTTAACGTAAATGTGGATGTAGAATTTGATTTAAGAAATAGTTTGACCTTGAATTTGGTGAGAAGCCTGAGACAATAGCATTGTTTTGAACGTACGGCTAACTAAGGACATGGGGAAAGTAGTGAGCTTGGGTTCACTACTAGTCAATCTGAATGCTGTATTAAATGGCATTATTTTGATAACAAATGAAAACATTTTAAATTTAACCATCTGCCAGTGGTAAAAAATGTTAGGACTGAAATAACGAACTCGATGTACGTCTTTATATTTTGTCTTATAATCCTAAATAGTTTATTATCATATTTGTATGCATTTTGAAACTTAATAAAATGCACACAATCTGCTTATACTTAGTGAATTTATAACATGATTGTAATATCTAGACATTTTATAGATTGCCAACGTGTATCATATTTCACACACACGCCCTGAGTGCGACCTAGTGTATGTTGTCTGTCTCATTACACTTCACGACAAAAAAAAATGATTCTGTTGAATGCCACAACAAATAAATAAAAACAAAATGCAAATATTAAAATTAAAACAGACTAAACTTATAGTAACAATATCAGGCTATTACCTTGTTCGGGGAATGTATCCTTCAATATCCACATAAAGAATGACTGACTGACTGACTGAGTTTGGTTTTACGCCGCTTTTAGCAATAATCCAGCAATATCACAGCGGGGGACACCAGAAATGGGCTTCACACATTGTACCCATGTGGGGCATAAAGGAATGAGATGCCATTCATCTGCAGCTGACATCCTGTTCCATGTCATGTGTCTTTTAACAGTCTAATATGCAAAAAAGTGATCTATCGATTCAGGTTTTTCATATTGGTGTATAGTCCCATTGGTCACCCAAGATAGCACACCTGGCAACTAATTGCATGATGTCCGCCATTCTTTAAAAAAGTAATCTAGTTAGCCAATAATGAGCAATCAATCAATGTATTGGCGGTTGTTTTTACAAAGAAACTTTACGCCAGGGTGTATTCAGTATAGATGAGTAAATCTACATACATAAACACTACCTTTTGACAAATCCACTGTGCAGGATAAAAGGAATTAATCAATCAGCGTATTATCGGTTAATTCTTTGATTGATGTTTGTTTTGTAACTCAGCTGATAATTCCTGTTACTGCACTTCTATGCACATATTACATAAGATGTAATACATTTACCACATCAGACCTCGATTTATAATGATGAGTATTTACTCCAGACACAAGAAATGACAAATGGGAACCTTTGTCGGGTAATCTGAGTGGTGTTATCACTAATTATACCTTTTATAAATTCATTAACTGACCATCAAGTGAATGATGACAAATAACATGTGTAGGTTTACCATCAAACAAGGGTTACAGCAAGAGAATAGTAATCGCTGTATTGCATGCAAGTATGATTGCCTGGAAAAAAAACTTATGGTCCGACACTGTTTTGAGGATACGAACGGAACTTCATTGTTACATAAGAAATATATATAAGCATTTACTGTGTACTTAGTTAAAAACTGTATATACCTATGTACCTAAGTATAATTTCAGATGTATTTAGCAGTGGCAAAGTGGGGTTGTTTAGTTTATGGATTCAAATATATCAAATGTGTGTTTTTGATATCATAGCATACGTAATAGACATCATATTTTTTAAATGATTAAATATTGAGGTAAAAAACACAGAAATAGGATCAAATTGGATCAGTCACTATACCATCCAAACATTTGAAAATCTGAAAAAGCCTACACTGCTGGGATACTTTATTACAACCAGACAAGAACTACCAGGGATATTTTCAAATAACGGCATTTGATGGGCATCCACCCTTCCTAATGTCCCACTGATTAGGTTGAAGAAATTAGGTGGACAGTAGCCCAGTCCCCGTGTCCGTCACGGTCGAGGGAGCAGAGGCTGACCAGTTTGCTGCTAGGTTTCATAATTAGACTGTTGGCTGGAAACAATAATCGCTCTGGATCAGTGGCCCTTTAAAGCGTTCGCTCGTCACACCAAAGACCCGGGTTTGATTCCCCACATGGGTACAATGTGTGAAGCCCATTTCTGGTGTTCCCCGCCGGGATATAGCTGGAATATGGTTAAAAGCGGCATAAAACTGAACTCACTCACTCACTCAACGTTGAATAGGGGGAAACATCTGTTTTTACAAGTAAAACCACCTTCTAGTTCTTCTTCCTCCCCTCCAAACGAACCAGGAATACTACATCCTTCCTCTTCTGTTTCTTTGGTTCGCAGCATGTGTAGAACTTCTGCTAACATATCTGCAGACTTCTCTACACGCAGCTCTAGACCATCCAACGATTGTAGAAATCTTGGATAGTAGGTGACACTACATTTTCTATAGTTTTGTTATCCATATCTGTATTGTTTTTGTTCCATATTATGCAACTTAGTGGCACCTAAGCCATATTGTTTTTTCGCTTGCATGGCAGACATCTTCCCATGCAAACCTTGTATCTCCTCTATCTTTTTTTCTGAAAGTTGTCTCATTTGTGGCTCTGTATTTGGAAAGTATATTCCTATCCCATGCCAAATCAAAGAAAAATGTGGGTTGGGTTTCCCAGTCCTAGGACGTCTTTTCTCTCCCTGAAAACACACATGTAATGTGACTCTCCCTGAAAACACACATGTAATGTGACTCTTCCTGAAAACACACATGTAATGTGACTCTCCCTGAAAACACACATGTAATGTGACTCTTCCTGAAAACACACATGTAATGTGACTCTTCCTGAAAACACACATGTAATGTGGCTCTCCCTGAAAACACACATGTAATGTGACTCCCAGAAAACACACATGTAATGTGACTCCCAGAAAACACACATGTAATGTGACTCCCTGAAAACACACATGTAATGTGACTCTCCCTGAAAACACACATGTAATGTGACTCTTCCTGAAAACACACATGTAATGTGACTCTCCCTGAAAACACACATGTAATGTGACTCTTCCTGAAAACACACATGTAATGTGACTCTTCCTGAAAACACACATGTAATGTGGCTCTCCCTGAAAACACACATGTAATGTGACTCTCCCTGAAAACACACATGTAATGTGACTCCCAGAAAACACACATGTAATGTGACTCCCAGAAAACACACATGTAATGTGACTCCCTGAAAACACACATGTAAAATGACTCTCCCTGAAAACACACATGTAATGTGACTCTTCCTGAAAACACACATGTAATGTGACTCCCTGAAAACACACATGTAATGTGACTCTTCCTGAAAACACACATGTAATGTGACTCTCCTTGAAAACACACATGTAATGTGGCTCTCCCTGAAAACACACATGTAATGTGGCTCTCCCTGAAAACACACATGTAATGTGACTCCCAGAAAACACACATGTAATGTGACTCCCTGAAAACACACATGTAATGTGGCTCTCCCTGAAAACACACATGTAATGTGACCCCCCTAAAACACACATGTAATGTGACTCCCTGAAAACACACTTGTAATGTGACTCTTCCTGAAAACACACATGTAATGTGACTCTCCCTGAAAACACACATGTAATGTGACCCCCCTAAAACACACATGTAATGTGACTCCCTGAAAACACACTTGTAATGTGACTCCCTGAAAACACACATGTAATGTGACTCTCCCTGAAAACACATGTAATGTGACTCTCCCTGAAAACTCACATGTAATGTGACTCCCTGAAAACACACATGTAATGTGACTCCCTGAAAACACACATGTAATGTGACTCCCTGAAAACACACACGTAAATGTGACTCCCTGAAAACACACATGTAATGTGACTCCCTGAAAACACACACGTAATGTGACTCCCTGAAAACACACATGTAATGTGACTCCCTGAAAACACACACGTAATGTGACTCCCTGAAAACACACATGTAATGTGACTTCCTGAAAACACACACGTAAGTAACTCATCCTGTCAATACCTTCTTTTGCAGAGTGGTTGTGACTTGCCCCAGATTCATCTGTTGTCTGTGAAGATGGAGGCGAATCTCCACCGAGGCTGCCCCCCGAACTGCCAGGACATCATCACCTGGTTACCTAGCTACCTGGCCGCCAAGATCATGGCCTACCTAGATCCAGGTGTGTTTGTTTCTTAAGTTTCTATAAATGCTTTGATACCTCGCTGTGACTCTGCAGCTAGCACTGCTTGTTTCACTGAGGTAGATCTGGCTACCACCTGAGCGCCCCTTTTCATTGCGTTAGATCTGGCCAGCTCAGAAGTGCTTGTTTCCCTGAGGTAGATCTGGCTAGTACCAGAGTGCCTTGTTTCACTGAGGCAGATCTGGCTAGCACAAGAGTGCCTTGTTTCACTGAGGTAGATCTGGCTAGCACCAGAGTGCCTTGTTTCACTGAGGCAGATCTGGCTAGCACAAGAGTGCCTTGTTTCACTGAGGTAGATCTGGCTAGCACCAGAGTGCCTTGTTTCACTGAGGTAGATCTGGCTAGCACCGGAGTGCCTTGTTTCACTGAGGTAGATCTGGCTAGCACAAGAGTACCTTGTTTCATTGCTTCATTTAGGTACACATGGCTAGCACCAGAGTGCCTTGTTTCACTGCTTCATTGAGGTAGATATGGCTAATACAAGAGTATCCTGTATCATTGAGGTGAATATAGCTAGCAGGGGTGGCTTTGGCTTGCTGTAGGGTAGTTTGTTTCACTCAGGTGTATTTGGTTAGTGCAGTAGTCATTCTTTTGTTTCAGTAAGTTTGTGTCGATCATCACAAGTCTGTAAAGTGTGGCAGCAACTTGCTGATGATCCGTCATTTTGGAGAAGATTCTGCTGTCAACCAAAATGGCGACTGTCGAAGGCAGCTGAACACAAACAAGTGATAAGCCACATGTCTGTGGAAGGCAGTATTCAGGTAGGCATTATTGATGTAGACAGTGTTAAGGTAGGCATTATTGATGAAGACAGTGTTAAGGTAGGCATTATTGATGTAGACAGTGTTAAGGTAAGCATTATTGATGTAGAAAGTGTTAAGGTAAGCATTATTGATGTAGAAAGTGTTAAGGTAGGCATTATTGATGTAGAAAGTGTTAAGGTAGGCATATTTTTCCTTATCCTGACTCATGCTCTTTTGCTTGTCTTCTTCCCTGCTTGCGAACATAGTGGAACACTTGTATCTCCCTAATTGAAGCTCCCTTCAATGTAAAATCACTAATTAGTACTCACCACGAGTTGCCTCCCTCTTCCATTTGCGCGGGAAAGGAGGCGCCACCCTCTGGCCTCATGCTTCACTCTCTCCTTCTTCGCCCAGTGAGCAGGATGTGAGAGCGCCTGTGTCTCCCTACACACTATATCCTTTGATTATTCTTAGTTAGTTACCTCTTGCACAGCAGTTGACAGTCCCTCGTAGACGATGAGACATAGTCTCACGAGATTATTATGTATATATCATACCAGTATCATCTAGCTTATAACTCTACGGAGTTTTAGGGCTATTTATATACATAGCTTAAGTCTACTTAGTCTTAAGCCCAGTACTATGTTTATGTACAGTTGGGTAGCTTCTCCATTTTGGAGTCGCTTTTATACCATTATTACTATTATCATAGTATATAATTATTGTAGTATCCCATCTATGGCAGCTGGTAAACTTATGGTTTATAGTAGCAGGAATTATCCTAATTCAGTGCCATTATGAAGTTCCCGTAGGGGGTTATTACATATATATATATAAATCACTAATTATTTAAATCCAAAGTATTCTGTTTTTTCCCACCTCCGTTTGCGGAGGATTCTACAAGCAAAAGATCATGGGTCAGGATAAGGAAAAATATGTAATTTTCTGACTAAAATTGATATTTTATACTTATCCTGACTCATGAGGTAAGCCCTCCCATCCTCCCCACATAACACTTTGGATTTCCCTGTAAATTCAAGTGTTGGGCTCGCTATATCAGGAGAGAGTGAAGCATGAGGCCAGAGGGTGGCGCTTCCTTTCCCGCGCAAATGGAAGAGGGAGGCAACTCGTGGTGAGTACTAATTAGTGATTTTACATTGAAGGGAGCTTCAATTAGGGAGATACAAGTGTTCCACTATGTTCGCAAGAAGAAGAAGACAAGCAAAAGAGCATGAGTCAGGATAAGTATAAAATATCAATTTTATTCAGAAAATTACATTATTGATGTAGACAGTGTTAAGGTAGTCATTATTGATGTAGGCAGCATTCAGGTAGTCATTATTAATATGGACAGTGTTAAGGTAGGCATTATTGATGTAGACAGTGTTAAGGTAGGCATTATTTATGTAGACTGTTTTAAGGTAGGCATTATTGATGTAGACAGTGTTAAGGTAGGCATTATTTATGTAGACAGTGTTAAGGTAGGCATTATTGATGAAGACAGTGTTAAGGTAAGCATTATTGATGTAGAAAGTGTTAAGGTAAGCATTATTGATCTAGACAGTGTGAAGGTGCGCATTATTGATGTAGACAGTGTTAAGGTAAGCATTATTGATCTAGACAGTGTTAAGGTAGGCATTATTGATGTAGACAGTGTTAAGGTAGGCATTATTGATGTAGACAGTGTTAAGGTAGGCGTTATTGATGTAGACAGTGTTAAGGTAGGCATTATTGATCTAGACAGTGTTAAGGTAGGCATTATTGATGTAGACAGTGTTAAGGTGCGCATTATTGATGTAGGCAGCATTCAGGTAGTCATTATTAATATGGACAGTGTTAAGCTAGGCATTATACTGAGGTAGGCATTATTGATGTAGGCAGTGTTAAGGTGGGCATTATTGATGTAACCAGTGTTAAGGTAGGCATTATTGATGTAGACAGTGTTAAGGTAGGCATTATTGATGTAGACAGTGTTAAAGTGGGCATTATTCATGTAGGCAGCATTCAGGTAAGCATTATTCATGTAGGCAGTATTCAGGTAAGCATTATTGATGTAGGCATTATTGATGTAGGCAGTCTTAATGTAGGTATGATTGAAGTAGGCAGTGTTAAAGTGGGCATTATTCTTGTAGCATGTTTCGGAAGGCATTATGCATGTAGTGTTAAGAGTGGGCATTATTAGGTCTTGTATTAGCATACGTCATGTTGGCAGTTCTGTTGTTATCATTTTCCATGTACAAAGTTTACTCAGGTGATAATGGACATAAAATATGTGCTTGTCAGTGTCATCTTGGCACCGCCACAATGTCTGCGGTTCATGTTTCACCCGTGAAAATGTGGGTTGGAATTGGTCTTCAGCAGCCAATTATTGTGGTAAGATTGGACTGACATGAAGTGTGTATATAGATCCTCACGATGTGGTGACAGTAAACACCAAACAAACCAACTTTCATGATTCTCTTTGTTGTAGTGGAAGAATGTGTTTGCGGAGAGATTCCGGTTGAGGAACAACTGGCTGAGAGGTAGATGTACAGTCCGCACATTCGAAGGCCACAATCAGGGTAAGTAACACTGCTTGAAAGCCCACTCAGTGGAAGCAACTTTGTAGGGAACCCTCAAAGGTAGCCACAGTCAAAGGGGCCCATTCTCTAGCCACACTGAAGAGAAGCCTCAATCAAGGTAAGCCTCTGTCAAGAAGCAACAATTGATTAAAGCCATATTCAAGGAAAGTGCTGCTGAAGAGAAGCCACAATAACTGAAGGTAACCCAATGCCATATGACGCCTCACTGAAGGTAACCCAATGCCATATGACGCCTCACTGAAGGTAACCCAATGCCATATGGCGCCTCACTGAAGGTAACCCAATGCCATATGATGCCTCACTGAAGGTAACCCAATGCCATATGATGCCTCACTGAAGGTAACCCAATGCCATATGGCGCCTCACTGAAGGTAACCCAATGCCATATGATGCCCCACTGAAGGTAACCCAATGCCATATGATGCCCCACTGAAGGTAACCCAATGCCATATGATGCCTCACTGAAGGTAACCCAATGCCATATGATGCCTCACTGAAGGTAACCCAATGCCATATGATGCCCCACTGAAGGTAACCCAATGCCATATGATGCCCCACTGAAGGTAACCCAATGCCATATGATGCCCCACTGAAGGTAACCCAATGCCATATGATGCCCTCACTGAAGGTAACCCAATGCCATATGATATATGATGCCCCACTGAAGGTAACCCAATGCCATATGATACCTCACTGAAGGTAACCCAATGCCATATGATGCCTCACTGAAGGTAACCCAATGCCATATGATGCCTCACTGAAGGTAACCCAATGCCATATGATGCCTCACTGAAGGTAACCCAATGCCATATGATGCCTCACTGAAGGTAACCCAATGCCATATGATGCCTCACTGAAGGTAACCCAATGCCATATGATGCCTCACTGAAGGTAACCCAATGCCATATGATGCCTCACTGAAGGTAACCCAATGCATATGGCTCACTCACTGAAGGTAACCCAATGCCATATGATGCCTCACTGAAGGTAACCCAATGCCATATGATGCCTCACTGAAGGTAACCCAATGCCATATGATGCCTCACTGAAGGTAACCCAATGCCATATGATGCCTCACTGAAGGTAACCCAATGCCATATGATGCCTCACTGAAGGTAACCCAATGCCATATGATGCCTCACTGAAGGTAACCCAATGCCATATGGCGCCTCACTGAAGGTAACCCAATGCCATATGATGCCCCACTGAAGGTAACCCAATGCCATATGATGCCTCACTGAAGGTAACCCAATGCCATATGATGCCTCACTGAAGGTAACCCAATGCCATATGATGCCCCACTGAAGGTAACCCAATGCCATATGATGCCTCACTGAAGGTAACCCAATGCCATATGGCACCTCACTGAAGGTAACCCAATGCCATATGACGCCTCACTGAAGGTAACCCAATGCCATATGGTGCCTCACTGAAGGTAACCCAATGCCATATGGTGCCTCACTGAAGGTAACCTGAATGCCATATGATGCCTCACTGAAGGTAACCCAATGCCATATGATGCCTCACTGAAGGTAACCCAATGCCATATGGCACCTCACTGAAGGTAACCCAATGCCATATGATGCCTCACTGAAGGTAACCCAATGCCATATGGTGCCTCACAGAAGGTAACCCAATGCCATATGGCGCCTCACTGAAGGTAACCCAATGCCATATGATGCCTCACTGAAGGTAACCCAATGCCATATGGTGCCTCACTGAAGGTAATCCAATGCCATATGGCCTCACTGAAGGTAACCCAATGCCATATGGTGCCTCACTGAAGGTAACCCAATGCCATATGGTGCCTCACTGAAGGTAACCCAAAGCCATATGGCCTCACTGAAGGTAACCCAATGCCATATGATGCCCCACTGAAGGTAACCCAATGCCATATGATGCCTCACTGAAGGTAACCTGAATACCATATGATGCCTCACTGAAGGTAACCCAATGCCATATGATGCCCCACTGAAGGTAAACCCAATACCATATGATGCCTCACCGAAGGTAACCCAATGCCATATGGCACCTCACTGAAGGTAACCCAATGCCATATGATGCCTCACTGAAGGTAACCCAATGCCATATGATGCCTCACTGAAGGTAACCCAATGCCATATGATGCCTCACTGAAGGTAACCCAATGCCATATGATGCCTCACTGAAGGTAACCCAATGCCATATGATGCCCCACTGAAGGTAACCCAATGCCATATGGCGCCTCACTGAAGGTAACCCAATGCCATATGATGCCTCACTGAAGGTAACCCAATGCCATATGATGCCTCACTAAAGGTAACCCAATGCCATATGACGCCTCACTGAAGGTAACCCAATGCCATATGGCGCCTCACTAAAGGTGACCCAATGCCATATGGCACCTCACTGAAGGTAACCCAATGCCATATGGCGCCTCACTAAAGGTAACCCAATGCCATATGGCACCTCACTGAAGGTAACCCGATGGTGTCAAGGGACAGCTCACTGAAGGTAAGCCTCTGTCAAGGGAAGCCATAATACAGGGAAACAACAACTGAAGGCAGCCACACTCAGGGTGTGACAGAATGAAGTACAAAGAACTGTAAATTGAAGACAAATTCAAGGTAAGCCATCGTAAGACCAACTAATCCCAGTGCATATTAGATTCTGAAGTCAGGTTAAACCTATGTGAAGTGATCATTTACTTTATCAAGCCGATTTTGTGGAAATGATATAGTATTCAGCTCCGTCCGTCCATACGAATGGAATATCTTAAGAACCATTGACTAGATTTTTTTTTCATATTTGGTACCAAGGTTCATCACAGTGTAAGAAAGGTCCCAGTCAGGTTTGGTGACCTTGACCTTCATTTCAACTTTTTACTCTTGTCAGCGAGATATCTTAAGAACCGTTCACTAGATTTTCTTCATATTCAACACCAAGCTTTATCTAGGGAAGGCGCAGGGCCCAGTCGAGTTTTGGTGACCTTCACATTATTTTCAAGGTCATGGCGACACTTTGAAAATATCAGCATATTAACCTGCATGTTATGCTTGTCAGCGAGATACCTCAAGAACCATTCCCTGGATTTTCTACATATTTGGCATCAAGCTTTATCTAGGAAAGGCACAGGGCCCAGTCAATTTTGGTGACCTTCACTTAATTTTCAAGGTCAGGGCAACACTTTGATGATTTCAGCATATTAACCTGCATGTTATGCTTGTCAGCGAGATACCTCAAGAACCATTGACTGGATTTTCTACATATTTGACATCAAGCTTTATCTAGGGAAGGCACAGGGCCCAGTCAATTTTGGTGACCTTCACATAATTTTCAAGGTCACTGCGACACTTTGAAGATTTCAGCATGTTAATCTGAATTGACTGGATTTTCTTCATAGACTTTCAAGACTTCCGTTAAATGTTTTTCAATAAGCAATTTCTTTACTACAATTTTTGCATATTTCATACACTATGACATTCATGTCAAGGTCAAAGTCAGTCTTGAAAATATTTGTGTGTTTGAACAACTAAAGAGCAAGATATTAAGAGAGGTTGATTGGTCATGTTTTTGTTGACATTTAACTTCATCTTAAACTTTCATAACTTTTTAAGTTTGATTTGATAATTTGAAGCAGGGGATTATGTCACCTTAGTGACAATGCTTGTTAAATTGTTTATTCAGTCAGTAAATCCCTGTTTATCCCCCTCAACACGTTTTGTGGGGGTATTAAAATGCGCCCGTCCATCTGTGCACATTCATCTTTTCCAGGGCAGAACATCCAAACCGTTTACTATTTCTCCACCAAACTTGACACATAGATAGATCTGGTGGTGTACAGGTGCCTTTTGGTAGTTTTGGAATTCTGAATAAAATATTTTTTGTGTTTCCGTGCAGAACTGTAATACCGTTCAATATTTCTTCACCAAACTTGGTATATAGATTGGTGTAGTGGTGTACTGGTGCCTTTTGATAGTTTTGGATTCTTGACTAAAATATTTTTAGTGTTTCCTTGCCAACAAGTTCGACTTTGATTGAATTTGGTGGTAGTGCTATTTTCCGGAGCAGAACTTTAAAACCGTTTACTATTTCTTCACCAAACTTGGCACATGGATAGGTCTGGTGCTGCACTGGTGCCTTTTGGTAGTTTTGGAATTCTGAATGAAATTTTGTTGTGTTTCCAAGCTTCGACTGAATTTTGGAGCAGAACTTAAAAAACCTTTCAATACTCTCCTTCCACTTTGCCATACACACCAAAACATTTAAAATAATCATAACTAGTAGATTTATTTATGAAGAGTATTTTGCCATTGTGGGGGATATTTATGACTTTGTCTTCTTGTTTGTTTATGAAATGAGATGAACAAAATATACAACAGATTATCAGAAAGATCATTCTCAGAAGCGGTACTTGGAATAAAGTCAACATATTTGGAGATCTAGTTTTGTGTGGGACGTGAGTTACAGCAATATCAGATGATTGTAGGAAGAATACAGGAACTTTCATTTGCAATTTTGTGTTTTGGGTCTGCTGTTGTTGTAACTGAAGGTTCATGCAAAGATAAGTTGCAGCTGTTGGCAGCGCATCTGTTTCTCTGTGCACATACAATTTGTTTGGAGAATTGCAGTGTTTGTTGGTCCAATAATTTGATGACCCTGATACAAAGGGTGAAATGAGAATCTACAGCAAACTTACGTACTGTGTCTTTCCTCAGGTATTTCATGTGTTCAGTTTGACGACACTCGTATTGTCAGTGGATCATCAGACAAGACAGTAAAGGTGAGTGTCAAGTTATGGGAGATGAGATATGGTCTGTTTACGGGAAACGTCCCTTGAGGGGAGACGTCATGTCAGTCCCTCCTGGATTCCACGGTTGCAACAAAAAGTCACGGAAATGACCTTTTGATGCAGAAAAACATTGTGTCCACGGAAAACGTATTTTCATGCAGAATACCTGCACAATTTGCCATTTTTCTGTGGCGGAATTTACTTATTTTGAAAGCTGAATCAAGATTGACTTTCAACCAAAACGAAAATTAGGGGTAAATGTCCAAAGTATGATTGTAACAACATTTGTTATAACAATATTTTCAAAATATTCACGAGTACAGATGATTTATTCATAAGGTAATATTTTCTTCAGCACCTTACAATAATATTACTTGAATTTGACATTGCAATTATATTAAAAAATCTGTCTTTTTGAAGATTGAAATTGGATTATTTTGTTTTTAACTGCAGAATGTTTTGCAGAATTTACTTAAATTTGCCGCAGAATTCTTATAAATTCATCGCGGAATCCAGGAGGGACTGTCATATGTTAGTTGATGCAGAGGAGTGGTGGTTGAGAAGGACAAGGTGTTGGAGGGATGGTGGTTGACAAGGATAAGGTGTTGGAGGGATGGTGGTTGACAAGGAAAAGGTGTTGGAGGGGTGGTGGTTGACAAGGACAAGGTGTTGGAGGGATGGTGGTTGACAAGGACAAGGTGTTGGAGGGATGGTGGTTGACAAGGACAAGGTGTTGGAGGGATGGTGGTTGACAAGGACAAGGTGTTGGAGGGATGTTGAGAAGCAGAAGGTGTTGGAGGGATGGTGGTTGACAAGGACAAGGTGTTGGAGGGATGTTGAGAAGCAGAAGGTGTTGGAGTGGTGGTGGTTGACAAGGACAAGGTGTTGGAGGGATGGTGGTTGACAAGGACAAGGTGTTGGAGCGATGGTGGTTGACAAGGACAAGGTGTTGGAAGGTGGTGGTTGAGAAGGACAATGTGTTGGAGGGGGAAGGTGACAAGGACAAGGTGTTGGAGGGATGGTGGTTGGTGTTGGAGTGGTGGTGGTTGACAAGGACAAGGTGTTGGAGGGATGGTGGTTGACAAGGACAAGGTGTTGGAGGGATGGTGGTTGACAAGGAGAAGGTGTTTGAAGGTGGTGGTTGACAAGGACAAGGTGTTGGGAGGGATGGTGGTTGAGAAGGACAAGGTGTTGGAGGGGTGAAGGTTGACAAGGACAAGGTGTTGGAGGGATGGTGGTTGAGAAGGACAAGGTGTTGGAGGGGTGAAGGTTGAGAAGGACAAGGTGTTGGAGGGGTGAAGGTTGACAAGGACAAGGTGTTGGAGGGTGAAGGTTGTCAAGGATAATGTGTTGGAGGGGTGAAGGTTGAGAAGGACAAGGTGTTGGAGTGGTGAAGGTTGACAAGGACAAGGTGTTGGAGGGATGAAGGTTGACAAGGACAAGGTGTTGGAGGGGTGAAGGTTGACAAGGACAAGGTGTTGGAGGGGTGAAGGTTGACAAGGACAAGGTGTTGGAGGGGTGAAGGTTGAGAAGGACAAGGTGTTGGAGGGGTGAAGGTTGACAAGGACAATGTGTTGGAGGGGTGAAGGTTGACAAGGACAAGGTGTTGGAGGGGTGAAGGTTGAGAAGGACAATGTGTTGGAGGGGTGAAGGTTGAGAAGGACAAGGTGTTGGAGGGGTGAAGGTTGAGAAGGACAAGGTGTTGGAGGGGTGAAGGTTGAGAAGGACAAGGTGTTGGAGGGGTGAAGGTTGAGAAGGACAAGGTGTTGGAGGGGTGAAGGTTGAGAAGGACAATGTGCTGGAGGGGTGAAGGTTGAGAAGGACAATGTGTTGGAGGGGTGAAGGTTGACAAGGACAATGTGTTGGAGGGGTGAAGGTTGAGAAGGACAAGGTGTTGGAGGGGTGAAGGTTGAGAAGGACAATGTGTTGGAGGGGTGAAGGTTGAGAAGGACAATGTGTTGGAGGGGTGAAGGTTGACAAGGACAAGGTGTTGAAGGGGGATGGTTGAGAAGCAGAAGGTGTTGGAGTGGTGGTGGTTGACAAAGACAAGGAGTTGGAGGGATGGTGGTTGACAAGGACAGGGTGTTGGAGGGATGGTGGTTGACAAGGACAAGGTGTTGGAGGGGTGAAGGTTGACAAGGACAGGGTGTTGGAAGGGTGGTGGTTGACAAGGACAAGGTGTTGGAGGGGTGAAGGTTGACAAGGACAAGGTGTTGGAGGGGTGAAGGTTGACAAGGACAGGGTGTTTGGGGGTGAAGGTTGATAAGGACAAGGTGTTGGAGGGGTGAAGGTTGACAAGGACAGGGTGTTGGAGGGGTGAAGGTTGACAAGGACAGGGTGTTGGAGGGGTGAGGGTTGACAAGGACAGGGTGTTGGAGGGGTGAAGGTTGACAAGGACAGGGTGTTGGAAGTGTGTTGGTTGACAGGGACAGGGTGTTGGAAGGGTGAAGGTTGACAAGGACAGGGTGTTGGAGGGGTGAAGGTTGACAAGGACAGGGTGTTGGAGGGGTGAAGGTTGACAAGGACAGGGTGTTGGAAGGACGAAGGTTGACAAGGACAGGGTGTTGGAAGGGTGAAGGTTGACAAGGACAGGGTGTTGGAGGGGTGAAGGTTGACAAATACAAGGTGTTTGAGGGGTGAAGGTTGACAAGAAAAAGGTGTTGGAGGGTGAAGGTTGACAAGGATAAGGTGTTGGAGGGTGAAGATTGACCAGGAAAAGGTGTCTCAGTAAAGGACAGATGATGAACATTTGTGTTTGTGTCCCCTCCGGGATTTGAACCCAAAGGCTCAGACAGAGACAGCGTGTCGCCAGCACTCAACATCAACGATCTTACCCACTCAGCTACTACCACTTCCACTGGCTAGTCGCTGCGTCTGATTTTGAATTCCATATGTAAAATATGTTACATTGGTGTCGTGCCGGGAAGGCTAAAATGTATTTTTCAGATGTCCCAGGATGGGTAAAACAATTTATTCCGACTTCCCGGGAGAACTAATTTTCAAGGGAGTAGGGGAGTACCGACAAAGCTAAAGTATCGGTGCCAAGAAGCATAATCCATGTCGGAAGTAGATAGATTTCTTTTCAAAACATTGTTATAATAGAGTGTTTATCTTCTTCTCTTTTTAAGAACTTTATTATTGTGGTGTTTGTATTTCAGATGTTTTTACCGTAATTAGAAAAACATTAGAGCTCAATAAAAATTTGAAGTAGATTAGAAATGTGTTTACTATGGAAAATGATAATTTAATGTCAGGTTAAAGAAAATGAATAGTGAAGAATAGACGTGACAATGTGTAAATAAGTTTATTTTTCCTTATCCTGACTCTTGCTCCTTTGCTTGTCTTCTTCTTCTTGCGAACACAGTGGAACACTTGTATCTCCCAATTGAAGCTCCCTTCAATGTAAAATCACTAATTAGTACTCACCAAGAGTTATCTCTATCCCACTCCTTTGCGCGGGAACGAGGGCGCCACTTCCCGTCACATGCCTCACTCTCTCCTTCTTCGCGCAGTGAGCAGGATGTGAGAGCGCCTGTGTCTCCCTACACATTATATCCTTTGTTTATTCTTAGTTATTTACCTCTCATAGACTGCTATAGAGGTGTAGCTAGTATCCTTCAACATAATGCATTGATATTTATTCGTGTTTGTACAGTTTTATTCACGGGACTCCGTGTTTGTTCAAGTAGATTGCGTTGATGAAAATCTGCACTATTTGTAAATTACGTTTTTCTGCTGCTGACCCGCATTTAATATGCCCTAGTTGTACTACGCCATGCTCTACTGTTTCACGTTGCAATTATTGTATTAATTTATCCAATTCTGCCTTTGATAAATATTTATTCTGCGTCTTGAGACGCGCAGCAGATTTTAGCCATGGCTAATACACCAGAGCCCTTACCCTGTCAACTGTTGTCGGACGACCCCCTCCCGTCTGGTGTTCCGCTAGAGTTACCCTCGGAGGAGAGGCGTGGGATGCAGTTCGCTTCCTCCAAGAAGCAACCTGCATCCCCGGACATCCCGTCGTCGCAGCTAAAGACTAGGAGGGCTTCCACGTCGTCACAACGCAGACTCCCCACCCCCAGGGCTACATCCACGTCGCAGGGGAAATCATCGAAGTCCAGCAGTACTTTCTCAGCCGAGATTGTTCCCTTTGCAGAGTTGGGCCTGTTTGATGATGAAGATCCGATCATCATTCCAGATGTACGGCGGAAGAAGCGGCCAGTGTCGGCAACTATAACTTCAGCGCAGATTAGCACGCAGGCTGAGGCACCTACACTGATGTCAGAGAATCGTCCTGAGGGTCCTGTCGCTACCATCGTAGAGAAGGCAGCAACTACTTCAGCACAAACCGTCCCAGACGACCTGATGAACCACATCATGAAGTTGATGGAAGATCGCTACGGTCTTCGGAGGCCTTTAGAGCCACGGGCGACCCAGCCCACCCCCATACCTCCGTGTAGGGCGACCCAGCCCGCTAAAGCGCCTCCACGAAGGGCGACCCAGCCCGTCTCTAAGCCTCAGCGAAGGGCGACCCAGACCGCCTGCACGAAGGACCCCGATCCTAAGCAGTCACGGAAGGCTTCACGGAGGATGTCTGTATCACCTACGTCGGACCTTGATGAGAGAGGACGTTCGCGAAGCAAGATCCTCTCATCCCATGATTCTGACTCAGACTCTCAACCTTCACGAAGGTTAAGTGGCTCCAAGTCACCCTCATCTAGAAGATCATTAAGAGAGTCACCGAGAGCTTCGCGAAGCTACCAGCGTTCGCCAAGGAAGTCTCCGCGAAGGTCACCTTATAGACGCCACTCGTCAGTCCGTTCAACACATCATTCTACTCGCCGATCTCGCCCTAGGAGGGCTTCCACGTCGTCACAACGCAGATTCCCCACCCCAGGGGCTACATCCACGTCGCAGGGGAAATCATCGAAGTCCAGCAGTACTTTCTCAGCCGAGATTGTTCTCTTTGCAGAGTTGGGCCTGTTTGA